TTTTTTTTTTTTTAATTTGAATTTGGTTAAATGAAGTATGTAAATTGGTATGCTGGCAAAATTCACATCCCGTTATATGGCTGTAGAAAGAGTGTTTTGTTGGCTGCAGGGGCGGAGCCAGAATTTTAAATCTATCCGGGCTAGAATTATTTTTGACCAAAAAAAAAATCTACATATTTGTATATAACAAATTAATAAAAAATGTACATTTTTATTGCATTCTAACAAACATTTTGTTTTCTTCATTTCTCATTTACAACTTTTTTATCCTGTATAAAATTAACAAATGTTAAACAAAAAAATTATTAAACCAGTTATTTCATTTTACAATGAAGAACGAGATAATTTGGTCTTTTTCTCTCTTGATTTAACATTAAAATACCTAATCAAAAAGATGTTAACACAAAAATACAAAATCATCATGACCTATTGTAAAATAAAACTAAAAAAGTCATAGCTTGTTGTGAATATAAATCTACATCTGACAAATTATAAAAATTGTTGTAATTTATTAAACATGATTAATTTTCTATCATGATAATTTACTAAAAGAATAATAAAAACTAAAGAGCAAATATATTTTAAAATTTCCACCTGAAGAAGGAATTTGGGCGGACGGGCGCAGTGCTACTACCGTGTGCCCTGGCACACCTAGCAAGGTGTGTCAGGGCAATTTAAAATGAACATGTTATGTTACAAAATGAACATGTGCAAACATAATTTACACATGTTCATTTTGTAACATAACATGTTCACACCTAAGTATTTGCGGGACGGGTGGGCAAGGCTTTCAGACTCAGTCTTGCAGAAGGGTGAATGTACAATTGCAACTTGCAAATTGAAAATGCAATAATGCTAAGGAGCCAACTGTTGGCTCCATCAATTGGCTCCATATCATTACTGATTGAAAATGACGGACGGGTGGGCAAGGCTTTCAGACTCAGTCTTGCAGAAGGGTGAATGTACAATTGCAACTTGCAAATTGAAAATGCAATAATGCTAAGGAGCCAACTGTTGGCTCCATCAATTGGCTCCATATCATTATTGATTGAAAATGACGGCGGCTCCCTAATTTGATTATTAAATTAGTTACAATATTTAATTGGACTTTCATGTACATTTTATATTTATTGTTGGGTTGGGTGGGCTAGTTTTAAGTTTATTGAAACTGGGCCCGGGCTAAATTATAAAATTCAGTATACAATACGTGAAATAGTGATTATTTTCCCCGGGCTACAGCTCAGGTAAACTTGGTTGTACCTCCGCCCCTGGTTGGCTGTGGCTTATTATGATTTTCCTATGCATTCAACTTCATGTCCTCTTCCCAAGTTCTTTTCCTAAGTTGAGATAAACATAGGAAAAGAGTAATTAATGAAAATATAAATGAAAAAATTATACTAATGAATAAATATTTTCTTATTCTTTAATATTCGTTCTTAAAACATAATTGTGATAAATGACCCATTGACCCATGTGAGAGCTCTTCGGTCTGTGCCTGTCATTTGTCCTGTTGGTATCAAAACTAGTGAGCAACGGGCTTGCCCCTCAAAACATTTTTATCTCTTCATTTAAAAATGAATTATTTAAATTTAAACATTTCATGTGCTTAGGAAAACATAATATGTAAAAATTAATTAGGTTTTACATGTGTTAAAAAATTAAAGTTTTTTTTACCTGTAGTAACACAAAATTATTATAATAATATTTAATTTTCATTATTATAATTCTATATAAAAAAAGTTGATTAATAAGGTGATGTATTTACTTTTCTATTTAAATATTATTTACTGTGTATTACAGAAAATAATATTTGTTACTACTAATTTAATATATTATAATCCCTCCCTATCATCGATGTATGATGTTAAAATATATATCACAATGTAAATTCTTGTAAGATACGACTTTATCGTTAGTCGGATTGACCTGTTAGATTTTTTATTGTATAAACAATCATAATTATTTTATGAAAGTATCATACTTTTGCTCATATCACATCTATATATATATATATATAATAAGAATTAACATTTTTTAAAAATAGTAAGCAAAAAAATAGGAAATATTAATTGCATTCCATTTTTGGTATTTTTTTTATTTTTTTAATAAAAAAATAAGTAACATTTAATGCTAGCATAAATCATGGGATTTGTTATATAGATGCATATTTAAATTTCAAACTTTAAACAAAACATGCCTAAATGTATTTTGAATTTTTTAGGGAAAAAATTTAGCAAACACGTTTAAGATTACATACAATACATATTTTTATATGTTATCTTAACATATAGGTTAATTAGTTTTATATCTAAATAATATATAAAACAAATATAACAATTTTTCGTACAATACAGACAAATATATAAACAATATATTTATATACAAATATAATAAACAATACAAACAAATATATAACTTGTCACGTGTATATTTCGTACAATGCATATATTTATATATATTATCTTAACATATAAGTTAATTAGTTTCATATCTAACAATATATATTTTAGGAACCTAAAGATCCATAACATTACTGACGTCATGTATATTTATAATATATTGTCACGTACATTTTACTATAATTGGTAACTTTTTTAAAATTATTTGAATAACTGGAGATTGATTTGTAATTTAAATTTCAAATTCATTCAAACATTTAAAGGAAAATATCATAAGCAGATTTTTTTGATACATTTCATTTTATCTCAGCTTACATATAATCACATTCCTACCAAACATTAAATTTGCTTATATCTTTTTAAATTAATTACATCAATAAATAATATTAATATACATTACATATTTATCATTATATAACAAATGTATTACTTCTATAAGTATTATAAATAATAATGACATTATATGATAATAGATTTTTTTGATAGATTAATAATTGAGTATTATGATGAACCAAAATATGTAAAATTATTATTATTTTGTATTAAAAAATAAATATATATGTTAAAATATTATTTATAGTAATATATACGGGTCAGCATGCTAATATTGTGAAAATAAAATTTTTTAAAAAAAGTTCTAAAGTACAGAAACCCCGTGCATCGCACGGGATTCTCACTAGTTTATAGTATGACATTTCAATTTAAAAATATGATTGCTTCAACCTACAGGAATGTTAAAATAGGTGGCTTCTTAAATCACAACTTAATCAAAATTTATAAAGAGAAAATTACCCCACCTACCATCAATATCAACTTTATTTGCACATATACTCATCTTATTTTTTATTTGCAAGTATACCAACCCTATAATTTTTATTTGGACGTATACAAACACTATTTATCTCCTCTTTTCTTTTTTCTTTTCCCTTCAATTATTCATCTCTTCTCTTTCCTCCATTACTCATTATTTATTCGATCCTGCAAATTGAATCTCTACCGAAGTAATCTTCTCATCTAGGGGCGAAACTACATTGATACATGGGGGGCTNTATTTTTTTACTATTATAATTAAAAATTTTAATTTGTCCCCCTCTTAAATTATTTTTTGCACCCCCAAATTTTTTGTCATGTCTTTTTGTCCTATGTCAATTAATTTCTTGATTTCACCATGTTCTTATCCATCATCTTTTTTATCAAGTAACACTCAAATAAACTTTCATCCATGTTTAAATATTCTCCAAATTGAACCCAATAATAAAAGAGGAATTTGCACTCTATATCAAACATTATTCTTTATATTGCACGTATACATTCAATATATATTTATTTGCAAACCTATCAAATGTATCATAATTATTTGCACATATACCAATCTTTTAATGTCTGTCAAATTATGGAATGTTATAATCAATGATTTTCTCCTTAATTATTGGAACAAAATCTCTCCCAAACCACCCACGTCTCCTCTCTCGTCAAAATTTGTTCTCCAAACCCTATCTACCAACGGCGAAGACAACATGCCCTCAGAATCATCGAAAAAAACCGACTAGCTGTGTGGAAGAATCACCACAAAAGTTCAAAAGCACCATTCATCCCCCGATTCCGATGATTTTCAGTCGAAACCCTCCGAATTTGTATCTAAATTTGTCCCTAGACGGCGTTCTGCCTCCCCGTCAAGGTGCGGTCGTTTCTTCGCGGCTGCGACGGCGAGGACGGCTGGAGATCGATCGCCGACGCTAGGGCTGCAGCGGATCGCGACTTTCCTCGACCTGGTGCGGCTGAGACTTGTGGCATCTCGAACGGCTCTCCGACGCGGTGCTGTTCGTATGTGGGGCCATCGCCGGTGGTCTCGTCAACGGGAGAAAAGTGTTCGCGATGGGCTGCTCGGAGGCTATCTCAAACAAATTTACCCGGTTACGGTTTTTTGGATTTTTTGTTTTCTTGTACGATTGAAAATCGATTGGTCTTGCGATTTCGAGCTTCGGAAATGGCTTGGGGATCATGAAATCAAGCCATATCTCCACGTAGTTTGCTATTAATTTTAGACGAATTTACCTGGTTACGGTTGTGTTGTATTGTGTTATATGTACAGTATATGATGGGTATATGTACAGTATATGTTAAATATATAATTTTTTCTATCTGTTTTGACGAAAATCTTCTCAGAGGGTAATTGTCGAACACTTGGTGTGTTTGATTTGTTGATAGATAGTTCTATTCTGTACATATTGCGGGTATATGCTGTGGGTATATATAGTATATTTTCAGTATATGTATCGGTATGACAATATGTATGTTTCGGGTATGAAAATTCTGTACACGATTTACATGTTACCATCAGATATGAAAATTTACACGTTGCGGGTATATACTAAAGTTGTACAACACACATATACATAAAATATACATAGAATATACATAAAATATGCATAAAATACACACTCGAGATTCACGTAATTCAAATCCGCGACACCACATATACATAAAATATACTTTAAATATACACTCGAGTTTCAATCGTTTCTCAAAATCGATTTTAGAACCCACATATACATAAAATATACCTAAGATATACACTCGAGATCACGTAAAAATTCTGAATGAAGACCGTCGGTCAACTGATTTTCGAAAAAATTCTGCTCGGCGGCGTGTGTTTCTTTCTTTTCGAAAAAATAGGAAGACATCATTTTTTGATAGAAAACATGTTTTTCATTGCAACATATACTGAAAATATACTAACATAAACCCAATATATACCACTTGACAGCTGCGTAAATTAAGGAATTAAACGAGTCAGTTATTTTCTCTCTCTTAATCATGCCCATAAAAAGGGGGATGGAGGTGGGAAGGATATGGTAACTGACTTTAGGCATTAATATAGATAAATAAGGTCTTTTAGGTATAAACATAATTATTTCAACTTCTATGATAAAGTTGCAATTAATTTAAAATCACATAGCATAAATAAAAATTTCCCATAATAAAATAGTAGTTTGCATGTTGTTTATAGTAAATGGGCCCAATAAATCTGTACAGAACAGAAAATTGGGGCCCAGTATCATGTGGGCCGGCCAGGCTGGCAACTGTTAGAATCCAACGTGCTTCCCGATTCCTTTCAGATCTGCGGCCACGATCATCCCGCAAACCTCATCTCACTCCCCCGTAATTATTTGTTATTATTATTATTATAAGAACTCAAAATTGTCACTAATCTTTTCTATATTTTGAACTCAAAATCGTTCAAAACTATCAAATCACTGTGACTGCGAGTTGGTTCAACTCCTCTGCAGCTGCCGGCGCCTAGTGAGGCTGAATCTCTGCTCCGATTAACGATTTTGGCCGGCGCTCTTGTGCATCCGTGTGTTTCTCGATAAGAAATCGGTGAGAAGTTGGTTTCTCTTTTGTTGATTGGTGTTGGATCGGTGATCTTTTGTGGAATTTTTGCGCGAATTTTCTGTGTAGGTTTTTGGTTTTGTATTGTTTAGACTCAGATGTTTCAGGCTGTTACTTTTNTTTCGTTGGTGTTGTTTTGAGGAAGCTTGTGAATCTTGAGCTGAAATTGGGATGTCTCGTCGAAAATAAGTGTTATTTGCCTCTTTTCATTCATGTAGAGTTTGAAATTTTGGGTTTTGATTAAATGAAGTAGCTTGAGTGAAGTGGAAAAATGGGTTCTGTTGACTTGAGCAAGCTTAATTATGTTTATTGTAATGCAGAAAGTTGTGGAAAACAGAAGCACTTCAGATATGAATCTAGGTTGTGATTGTGGTTTGTTTCTCACGGAATGTGCATTTCCGAATTTTGCATCTGTATCAATGACGTTTTGCAATGCACTCACAAGTTTGAACTGATCTGATGGTTTACAATTTCAAAATGTAGTTTATGTTTTGATGGTTAATCTTAATCATATACTAGGTGCTGTTAGATACTTTTGGAAAGTCCTGTTAAAACTGCTTTTTCATCTTCTTCTCCTTTTTTTGTGGGGTAGAAGTTCTTTCGTATTTGACCTCATTTGTTTTTTGTTGGAATTCATGTGCATAGTTGTGTGAACTTAATCATTACTGTATCAATCTTTCTGCGACAACCTTTTCATGAGTAAAACCTAAATCCACATGTATTACGAGATCAATTAATTGTCTCAAGCTTCAAAACTAATGGCGTTCTTGTTTCCATGGAAGTTCGAAAACTGTTCAGTTCGTTATTCGTAATTCAACTTGATGGGGAAAATGATTTATGTGCACTTTATTGGCAAATCTTTTGACAGTGGTCCAAGCTGCAAAGTGTGTTGTAGTAGTTACAAAGATTGATTTGGTGTTATGTGAAGTGTTGAAAGCTTAGCCTGCAATGTTATAATTTATGCATGATTCTCACATTTTCTTTTCCTAATAACAGTCATACTTTGCTGATACCAAGATGGTAGTTCAGGGCTTTACTGTCGATCTAAATAAACCTCTTGTCTTCCAGGTAACACCAATTAGTTATTATAAGTGCTATAACATTTCCAGTTTCTTTTGCACCTTTCTGATTCTGCATAGCATTTCTATTTTACTTTAATTCTAAAGTAGACAATTAATTTCAACGATGGACACCAATTGCCTTTTTTATTTTGATACTTTCGGTTCTTCATTACTTGCCATCTTGTCGATACACACACATCCCTTTGTCTCATTATGATCAAATTAACTTCCATAGGTTGGCCATCTTGGTGAAGAATATCAGGATTGGGTTCATCAGCCAATTGTTAGCAAGGAAGGCCCTCGATTCTTCGAAAGTGATTTCTGGGAGGTACTAATTTCCTTCATATCCATGACCAAATTCTGTCCAGCATTTTTTTGTTGTTGTTGTTAGGTATTATGATCAGTAAGTGTAATTTTATAAGCTATTCAGTTGTCGATTTCTTCTGTGGACAGTTTTTGACTCGTACTCAATGGTGGGTCATCCCTCTTATCTGGCTGCCAGTTGTTAGCTGGTTCATTTCAAAATCCGTTAGTTTGGGCCACACAATACCTCAAGTTGTAGTAATTGCTGCTCTTGGCATTCTTGTCTGGACTCTGGCTGAATATACACTGCACCGATTCCTTTTCCACATTAAAACAAAGAGTTACTGGTAAGTGAGCTCTTGCACCTTTCCAAAATCCTTCTTCCTTACGTAATTTCTTGATCATCTTTGTTTTTTATGAAGAGTTTTGTGAACTTTCAGGGGAAACACAGTTCATTATCTTCTCCACGGCTGTCATCATAAGCACCCAATGGATGGTCTACGTCTCGTTTTTCCCCCTGCTGCTACTGCTGTTCTTTTATATCCCGTACGTTAGTTCAATACCTTTTGTGGAACTTATATTTTCTTATTTTTCATTGCTTATTATTTTTTTTTTGGGAAATTATTATTTATTTATTTTTATGTGTGATCTATGTATCTTTTTATTGCAGTTTTGGAATTTGATAAAATTAATATCTACTCCCACCACGGCACCTGCATTATTTGGTGGTGGTTTGCTCGGTTATGTGATGTATGATGTCACTCATTATTATGTGCACCATGGGCAGCCCACCAGTGAAATTCCCAAGGGCCTCAAGGTAAAAACAAAAAAAAAAGAGCAAACTTTTTAAACCTGAATCTATGAGTAAATAGGTGATATATTTCTAGTTTGGCAACATTTTATTCATTTATTTATTCTGTTTTGTAGAAATATCATTTAAATCATCATTTCCGGGTTCAGAACAAAGGATACGGTATCACATCGTCCCTTTGGGATTGGGTGTTCGGAACCTTACCTCCATCAAAACTGGGTAAAAAGAGTAGATGATTTTATCGGCCCGTTATTGTTAATGTTTTACGGTAACTGTCAAATTTGACGATTGGAAAAGCGAGTCGCCTCCAGATTTCTTCACGCCATCCTTTGTAGTAGTAGTAATGTAGTATTATTTATTTATGCTTCTGGGAAAAACACAAGACGATATATGATTTCTTGGATCTGATATTCATTTCTTAGTTTGTGTAATTTTTTATGGAGTTGGTAGCTGGATTTTTCCTTTTTAGGTGCATATCTAGCAACTTGTATAATGTAAACAGTTTTTGCGAATTGCATTTGTTTTCAGTGAATGTGTTCTATTTTCTGGGAAAAAACACTGAAGAACAAAAACTCATGGAGATATCATTTTTCAGTAAATGATGTCTCATGTCTGTGTACTTAGTTAATTATCACTTCTGTATATATAATTATTTTCATTTTGAGTTTCAAATTTTAATCAGTGAAAGCCTCAATACCCGACGGTACTTCACCAAATGAATAAGAACCGTCCGCACAATATTCTTTCAGAAAGTGATCAACTATACCAGATTTTATGCATTGCTTAAAAACAAAAAACAAAAAGAAAACATAAACATAAAAATGGCTCCAACTGTTCAACACCATTCACAATAAGACGATCAAACCCTCAAAACATAACGTAAACACACCAATATATGTATCGTGTTAACCTCCTTCAGTGAAACACAGTCTTTCCGCTTCTCCTCTCACGCATCAATGGCAGAATTGGAATACTCTGCTCGTGTCTGAAGAAATTCTCCTTGTCCACCATAGTCTTCACCTTCACAAGCCTGTCGAAATTATCCTTGAAATACCTCGCGCCCCACGAGGCCGCCTCAATGAAGCTCGTCCCATTCTTGTTCATCCCCAGATCAAGATCCCTATAGTTCACATAAGCCTGTCTTGGCAACATTGACACGTGTGGGCCCATGTAGTTGTATACTCTCCTGATCCAATCCATGTGTCGGGCCTGAGATTCGGGCTTATCGTCATTCCATGTGGTCACATACTGTATCATGTACTTAACTCCTTTTCTATGCGGAAAAGGTGTCTCGTCTTCCGGAATCCGGCTCATCATGCCTCCGTAAGGCGTGAGTATCATCAACGGCGTTTCCTCGTCTAACAGTCTCGTCCAAAGGCCCTCGAGCCCTTCTTCCGTGATGGCATTCATTACGTAATCCGACTTTGCCTTGAAGTAGTTCTTGAATAGAGACTTTCCCTGAAGTAGGGTCTCGGGTGGAGTCCCGCTCGGGTAGCCCGTGATGTACATAATCGACTCGATCCAGCTCATTTCCGTGCAGTCCTTTCTCTTAAGCCCGAGCTCGGGAAAGCTCTCGTCCATCACCCGAATCAGCCTCTCTGCCTTGCCGAAAAAAACCGCGTTGTAAAGGTTCGAAATCGTGTTTTTGCTCCTCTGTATGATGACTCGGAGGAAGAGGTCCTCGTCGATCGTGTCGGCGACTTGCTGCCACCTGGCGAGGATTTTGGTCGCGTTCTGCTCGAGTGTCCTCGAGACAGTGAAAACCGTGGTCGTGGTCGGGACTGGGACGAGCCGGACCTTCCACGCAAGCAAAATACCGAAACTGCCCCCGCCCCCGCCGCGGATGGCCCAGAAGAGATCCTCACCCATCGACTCCCGGTCGAGGATCCTTCCAGAGGAGTCCACTAATCGGGCGTCGAGCACGTTGTCGGCTCCGAGTCCGTATTTCCTCATCAAGGGCCCGTAAGCCCCACCGGTTATGTGGCCACCGATCCCGAGGCTAGGGCAGAGGCCAGCAGGGAAACCGAGCTTCGAACTCTTTTGGGAGATTCGGTAGTAGAGTTCGCCGATTGTGGCCCCGGCTTGGGCCCACGCGGTCTTTTCGTTTGGGTCGACGGTGATCGACCGCAATCGGGAGAGGTCGAGGAGGACGAAGGGCTCGTCTTTCGACTCGGAGGAGTAGGAGAGGCCTTCGTAGTCATGGCCTCCGCTCCGGACTCGGAGTAGGAGGCCCAGGGCTCGGGTGCAGGTGACAGTGGCTTGGACTTGGTTTTCGATGAAGGGGGTGAAGATGAGGAGGGGTTTGGGGACGGAGGGGACGAGTCGCCGGAGGTTTTGGGCGGTGGATTCGAGGACGGCGGAGAAGGAGGAGTTGTCGGCGGAGTAGAAGGAGGAGGAGAAGGGGACGGCGAGATCAGAGTTTAGGTTTATGCATTGGTAGAATTGGTCTATGATGGATTGTGAGAGGGAGGGTTGTGGTGTTAGGGCAAGGATTGTTAGTGTTGTGTAGAGTGTGAGGAGGAAGGAATTTGAGGTTTTCATGTTGGTGTTTTTAGGTTTTCACTTAGGTTGGTGTGTGAAGTCTTTTGTTGTGGGTATGTGTGTGTTTGTGAGAGGCACATGGATAGCTATATATATAGTTGATGAGACTTTGGTGTGTGTGTGTGTGTGTGTGTGTGTGTGTGGAGTTTTTTATGTCATGGAAGTTGAATTATTCATGACTCATTTGACTTGATGATGTCAAGTGTGAATATGTGCACACTTCTAAGTTTAGGTGCCTTAGGGATAGTGAACACTATGATGGGAAAAATGAGATTAATTGTTGTGGGGATATTGACTATTGTTTCCCATTTGCTTTTAAGGGGAATATTTGGTGTCATTTGCTTAGGATATATAACAACTTAGAAATATTATTCCATAAGTTCGACATATTAGTAAATATAGTATGGTTCGAATTTGGGAACTGTCTGCTTCAGAAATTCGCTCTATTTTCACTAATAGCTTGGTTATTTTCAGTTAACAGTTGGTCACATTGATATTATCCTTTTTCTAATTTTTGTTCTTCATAAGTTCTTATATTTACATTTCTTGCCTTCTAAAGAACAATTTATGAGAGTTTCTTGCTTAGAGGATTCCTCTTTAATTAAGTAGCGAAGGTGGCACGCTATTGATTCTTTAGGAAGTCATTTTGCGCCCCACAAAAACGACAAGGGAGAATAAAAAAAATAAGGAAAAAGTAAAAATACGTTATTTTAAATTAAGTGTGTAAACGAGTCGAGTTGAGTTCGAATTCTAATACTCAAGTGTGAGATCAAACTTTTATAAAATCGAACTTTTACAAGACAATAAATGAGTTCAAACTCGACTCGTATATCAATATGAGTGAGCCGAATTTCAAAAAATTACACAAAACAAAATCTATTTCGAGTCTCAATGAACTCAACTCATTAACTAAACGAGTTCGAGTACCAACTTTTAAAGCCTTTCATATTTATATATTGTTCCTTTTGTATAATTTACAAGTGATTTCAAGTTTGAATATATGCATAGAATCCACTTGGGAAAGTTGAAATAGTAGTGGGCTTGGCATTATCCGGGATGATAAGCCTGTCCACTCTCCCAAAGTGGCCATAAATGGAGATAAATTCCGCTGATGAATTCATATCTTTGAGCAATGGGCATTTCTAGTGAATTTTGGCTTTCTGGCCATTGTTCAATGCAATGCAAAATGTCACCACATAGCTAACACAAACCATTAGATAATCAGTGACGAAATGGAAATGGAAATGGAAATGGAAATGGAAGAGGAAAGAAGGAATTCGACAATCAGTGACGAAAGCCAACCATACGAATTGCAAGGTACGTGACTCGGGATAAAGCAAAAGGGTTTGTAACCCAATTCGTGTATATATGGAGATAAAACGATGTTGAAAAGAGCCAAAAAAAAAAAAAAAAAAAAAAAGATTTAACTTCCTAAAAATTCTTCGCGATTGATCCGAAAATTTTGAAAGTGTCAACCGCCTCAATAAGACGAGTTTTATAATTGATCAATTTGTTTGTATATAAGGTCACCGAACAGTTCATTAAGAATAATAAAGTCGACCACACGTCGCGTCGCGCCAAATTAAAATTTATATTTTTCTTTGACTAAAACACGCTCTGCTACATGGAATTTTTCTTTACAATATACTTAACCAAAATACGCTCTCCGATTAAATCCAACTACTGGACCGTTTAAAACACGCTCTCTAGATTTAATATAGTAGCAACTCTAGTATCTAGGAAAATAGGCTAGTCTTAGACTTTGTTTGGTAAAACTAGCTGATAAACTAGTTGATACCTGATAAACTAGCTTACAGTTTATATGTAATTTTGAGTTTATAGCTTATAACTTATGACTTGTAGCTGAAAAACTAGCTTATACGATAAAAGTATTTGGTAAAATTAGCTGATAAACTAGTTAAATAAAAAATTCAACTAGCTTATTCAAAAAGCTACCTAAAGTAGTTTATGAGATAAGCTTGAGTTTTTTAAAAAAACTCACCCTACCAAACGAAGCTTATTTGAATACAGGAAGCTTATAAGATAATCAAATAAACTATAAGCTAGCTTATTTGACTTATTAAACCTGACCTAATAGAAATAGGTTCACAGTCTATTTAATTAGGTCGTGCCATTCCCGACAGTTTTCGGCTATCGTGTGCTACTAACGAATTAAACATAACAACAATTACAGATTGAAGGTTCAATACTAGCATTAGACGTGAAAAATCCTATATAGGTGATCAATCTAAATAAAATCAAACACATTATGATTAATCAAATAAAATAACAAAAACAATTTCATAGATATAACAAAATAATAAATCTGAAATTAATTAATCCTTTACAAGTGATTCACTAGGTAATTAGTTACTAGTATGTACCCGTGCGATGCACGGTGGGCACATAACTTAAAACATATTGAAGTACTTATTTTAAATGTAATTAATTATATTTAACATCTAATTATAGAAACAAAAATAAAAATAAAAAAGAAATCATATATTATTAACTTGTACACAACATTATTTGTTTGATTTGGGGGCAAATCATGTTCACCACATATTAGAATTTTCAAACCCTTTCTGTTGGTGACGCGCGAAACAGCAACATATAACTGACCATGAGTGAAATTATACCATTTCTTACATCAGATAATGGTAAGGTCTGAGCACCATGCAACACACTCTGGTAATCATAGTTTGAAGTGTTTGATTGATTGTTGTTTCGCTGTGCAATAAACGATGATCCTTTGACAACGGGTGACCTCATAGAATATGTAAAAATGAATACAAAGTCAAATGAGGCTATAAAAATCGACAGTGATATTTCAAATATATGGTTCAATTTTAAGAATTTTAAGAATTTCGTGTGTTTCTGTATAAATCGTCTTTTTTTTTTGTTTTGTTTTAATTTTTTTCCGACATCTGTTTTGTAAGATGTTCTATGATGTTTTTTTTCCCAATATATGGTCCAATTTTAAGAATTTTGGTAGAAATCCTAAATGTCTTGGTCAAAATATGATGAAAATTTGAAATGAAATATAGATTTATTAATGAGATTTTGCAACTATATGTTTATTGGGGGAATCCCAGCAATACAGGGGAAAGACTCCAAATTAATTAGGAATGTGTAGCATATGAAGATTTAATCGATTTATTGTGTTTCTATATACCAGTATCCGATTGTTAGTAAATAACAATATACATTTGTTTACCAAAATTTTATCCGATTGTTTACCAAAACTTTTGAATCGTGATTGTATATCTCTTTGGGTGTAAACCATTTTATTTCATTTAAATCAGTTATGTAATCACGTCCCGATTTTTGACAACTCTGCAACGCCCCAAAAATTCAGGATATTATCATATGTGCATTTGTTTAACAATTAACACATAACAATATCCTATTATCAATTAACAATATAGAATTCTTATAAGGAATTTAAATTGTATATGATTCTTATCAATTAGCACATTAAATAAATCTGAAAATATTAATCAATTTATTGGATAATTCCAGTTAGATAAATGATTAATTAGTTAAGATATTATATTAATTATATCATGATTTTTCAGTTAGATAATGTAGATAAAAATATAATGCTAATTAGTTTGTTAGGAATGTGATTATATGAAAATCAAGATAAAATAAATTTACCCAAAAAATCTGCTTGTGATCTTTTCCTTTACATGTTTGATTTAAAAATCTAATAACCAAATTTAGATTATATCATGTAAGGGAAAAAAATAAATAATAAACATTTATTAAAGCGACAAATCGATAATATTTATCACTTAGATTATAAATAATAAATATTTACATGTAAAAAAAATAAATTATAATATATTTAAAAATATAACTCAGAATTTTAAATAAGCCTGTTGACTTGTTTATATTAATATAAATATTATTTTACATATATATTATTTTTAATACAAAATAAATAATAATATTACATATTTTGGTTCATCATAATACTCAAATATTATTTTATTAAAAATATTTATTGTCATATAATGTCATTCTTATTTATAACACTTATAGAAGTAATATATTTTTTTATATAATAATAAATATTTAATGTATATAAATAAGTCGATCAAGCTCCCAAAGTTGTGCATGTGTGACACGAATAAATTAAATTTTTTAATTATTTTCCAATAAACCCAATAATTGGCATCAATTTTGTAGCACTGCCAAACAGAACAAAATATATAAGTAAACTACCCATTGCCTTTGCCCATCAATATGCACCCACCGTTGGCACCAATCCCATCAGCCGCTCGCAGCCCACCACAATTTTGATGCACCCGCGCACACAGAATCCCTAACCCAATAAAAAGGTTCTCGATTGATGACCGACACGTGTCCCCCACACTCCCGATCCGCAAAACCCACGATCAAACCCACCCCACCAAAACCAAATCCATCAGCCCCTTTGCGCCCACACACACAAACACATACTTATCTTTCTACACTTTTTTTCTTTTCCAATTTTCAGTCCCTCTTCCAACCTTTCTCAGATCTTCCTTACCTGCAAAAGATGAAAAAAATCGCCCGCCAGCTCGGATTTTGCGGTGAGGGAATGCTGGATCTCTTTCTGCTGACTCATTTTCGCTCTGTAATCTATTTGCGCAAACGCTAAAAAAGATAAAAAAGATGAATGATTGCCTGCACCCTGTTTTGATGTGTGGAATTAGGTTTTAAGATGAATGATTGCCTGCACCCTGTTTTGATGTGTGGAATTAGGTTTTTCTCTGTAATTTCTCGAATCATCATTTGGATGATATGGGAAATTAGGTCTTTTTTTTCGTTTTTGGGATTCTGCCTTTGATTCGGAGAATCATCCGTTGTTTATTCTTTTTCGTCCCAAGTTTCTTCCTTTTTATTTTCCTATGGATTTTTGGGGTTTTTCGTCGCGTCTGAAGCCCCGTCACTCGTCTGCAAGAAAACCGGTCAGGTTTTTCGGCTAGAAGCACGACCGGTGATTCTTCATCTTCGGCCCCAGCACGACATGATTTCCCATGGCAACTCAAACATAATGAACCAATAATTAATTTCGATGGTTTCCGCTCAAGATTTTCTCTTTTTTTTTTGTTTTTTTTTTTTTAATTGGCGTATGAGCCCAATATCTCGAGTGCAGGTCGACGGGGCTTAGGTTGGAGAGGTGGAAGAGAGGGATGGATTATACTTTTCTAATTATTATTAGTGATATAGTTTGAGTATTTGTTAGTGGTTTAAAGAGGAACGGAAATCATTAAGAAAGAGAAACAAAATCCATAAATATAGGTATAGATTTCAAAAGATTCACACGTTTTTTAGTTTACAGTATCTTATCACTTTAGCTAATAGATATCTTATCCATAAATTGCATGAGCGGGAATTGTGCAAAAATTCAAAAAAATTTGCTGAAAATAGTAAAAAACAAAAAATAAAAGTGGGAAAATGACTTTAAAAAAAGCGGGAAAACGAAATGTTTATTTTCGGATTGTTCAAATAATTTTTCTTCATAGATTTCCTTCTCTCCATGCTAGCCTTCAAATCGTGTTATGAGGAAACAAGTGTTGGGCCAATTGGCCCAACTTTCTCTTCGAGTCATAAATATTGGTAAAATGTTGTGGGTTGGTATTTGGTTTATCAACACTATCACTCTTGGGCCTAAGTATGGAGTACAGTGTGAAATTTCGTTTAATATCTCGTCGTTTATGAAAATATTCCAATAATTCAAAAATAAATAATAAAATATATCATAACACTTGAATTCATTTAATAAAAAAATAAACTGAAAAACATATTAGTGCAATAAAATTAAACATATAAAAAAAACACTAATAAATATACAAAACGTGTACATAATTCTACCTATCAAAAGTGCAAATTCACCTCGGCTCGGTTTTCAACCCGTTGTTTTATATTACAACACATAGAAAAAGTCGTGTATTTATCCGCATTATTAAAAAAAACCTAATTAAATTCATGGATTTTGAAAAGCCGGCCCATTTTTCTACTAAGAAGCCTTTTCTTTCCTTCAGGCTGATGCTGTGCAGTGTGCAACGCAGAATCTGAGTTCAAAATCTTTTAACAAGCAGAAGCATAAAAAGGCTGGATATAAAATGAAAAGTAAAAAAAAAAATTCATAAGAAGCTATTTTTAACAAGCACACAAATATTTCTACTATTCATAATTACTAGTTTGAACATAAATAATAATTACAGAAGCATAAATTTGATACAGAATGAAAAGCTAGAAAAAAATACTTCATAATAAGCTATTTTTAACAAGAACACAAGTATTATATCAATAAATTTATATAGTTGCAGACTAAAATCACGTAAATAAAATATAAAATTTCGTAGTGTAAACTTTTCTTAAAAACTTGATCGGACTAATGGTAATACACACTATTGCTTTTATGAATAAATTATTACTATTATAATCATTTGGTGTCTCCCTAGAACACGTAGGTCTTACCTAGCAAAGACTACAGATAAATCGTCCAACGACGTGGTCGAATCTGCGCCTCACATCTCCTAAAAAACGACAAATCCTACCCAATATGTATCACCCAGCCAAAAAAAAAGGGAATAAATAATAATAAAAAAACTAGTCAAGCATTGACTCGGCGACCGACAGCGTCGCCGCCGCCTCTTTGGGCGGTCGGGATACTCTGCTCGTTCCTGAAAAAGTTTCGAGGATCGACCCTTGTCTTAATTTTCACCAGCCGATCAAAATTCTCCTTAAAATACTTCTCCCCGTAAACTTTTCCCTGGCCGTAGCTGGACTCGCCGGCCGGCATAACTCCGATGTCCAAATCCCGGTAGTTGAAATACGCCTGCCTCGGATTTTCCGACACGTACGGCGTCATGAACTCGTACAGCTCTCTCGATTGTCGCACGAAATCTTCGCTGTCCGACCCGTTGTCCCAACTAACAGAGTACTGGATCTTGAACAGGTTCCCGTCCCGGTGGGGGAACGGCGTCGCCGTCGCCGGAATCCTGCTGTTAACCCCGCCGTACGAGTTGAACACCATCCCCACCTGCCCGCCCCGGATTATCTCGTCGAATATCCGGTTCAGGCCGTTGACGGGGATCGGTTTCTTCACGTAGTCCGATTTTCTTTTGAGGTAACCGGCCGAGTTGGGGTTCCGGTTCAGGAGCTCCTCCGGCGATCGGGTGAGATTGGTCCGGTCGTCCCAGTAAAGGACCGATTGGATCCACGGCATCTCGTGGCAGGAGGATCTTGTCAGGCCCAGCTTGGGGAAATAACGGGCCGTGACGTTGAGGAGGTTTCGGCCCGGGCCGAGGTACTGCCCGACGAACGTGGCCCGAACGGTTCGGGTTCTGTTTCTGGTGATCGGCTGGATGAAGACCCTCACGAAGAGCTCGTCGTCCATGGCCGACACGGCCTGCTGGTACTCGTGGACCAGCTCCGCCGCGTCCTCCGACCGGAATCTTTCGATCTGGAAAGCGGTGACGGTCGGAGGGACGGGGACGAGCGCGATTTTGTAGGCGAGAACGATGGCGAAGCTGGCGCCGCCGCCGCCGCGGATGGCCCAGAAGAGATCCTCCCCCATCGACGCCCGGTCGAGAATCCGGCCGGCAGCGTCGACGACCCTGGCGTCGAGGACGTGGTCGGAGGTGACGCCGTGCTTCCTCAGCAAGTTGCCGTAGCCGGCGCCGGCGATGTGGCCGCCGACGCCGACGGTGGGGCAGATGCCAGCGGGGAAGGCGAGGGTGTTGCTCTTCTCCCAGATCCGGTAGTAGAGCTCGCCGATGAGGGCGCCGGAGCCGACCCAGGCGGTCCGGCCGGCGGCGTCGACGTCGATCGACCGGAAGTTGGACATGTCGAGCATGGCGAACCTCCTCTCGCCGGAGACGTAGGACGTGCCCTCATAGTCATGGCCGCCGCTGCGGATCCTGAGGTGGATTTCGAGCCTCACGGCGCAGACGACGGTGGCGCTGACGTGGGCCTCCGATGTGGGGGCGACGATGAGGCCGGGCCGAGGGGTGGCGCTCGTGTTGAAGCGGCGGTTGCGGATGTAGGAATTTAAGACGGTGGAAAATTGGGGCGTGTTTGGAGTGGAGACTATTTGTGAGGCGACGTCGTTTGGAATTTTTTGTTCCGATAGGCACTGGACAAACGAGGCATAGAGTGGGGGGTTATCCGCGGATGCGAAGGCAAAGCTGGTTAGGAAATAGAGGAAAAGTGGGAGATTGGGTTTCTTCATGTTTTTGTTGTTTATCCTTTTTCCTTTTTGTTTCTCTTCTTGTTATATTTGGGGTCTGTGAAATGTTTATTGTTGATTAAAAAGAAAAGTATTTATGGTTGATACATAAAACGGATATTTAGTTGAAAATTGAATGTGAAAGCGAGTATGATATTTATTCCCACGGTGGTTTTCTGAAACGGTGTGTCTTTAGAAAATAAGGAGCTGTGATAATAAACTAAAAGAAACGTGCGAGAGGAGACGACATGGAAGGGATTTGATCGTTTGAGGCTTTCAATTAGCTTGTCGAATTGAGAATCGGTGACAATCATTTTGATTTGGGTCGACTCGACAAGTCGATATACCGTCAATGAACCAATCAGTATAGATTGTTGATCGGTCGACGAATATCATTTGGTTGGATTAATGGTTGCATTAGTTAAATCATTTCACATCTTTCAACGTAATGTACTGTTTGTTTGAAAATATTTAAGCATTGTTTTGCAAGCAGATCTCAACAGATAATCGATAGTTGATTGTATTAACGGATAGAGAATAGCAAATTATTTCAGTTGGTTTGACTGATGGATTAGCGTTTGTCAAATAGCGAAAAATTTATTGATATTACGTTGTATTGATCCTTTTTTTATTACACTCTTCCTAAAACTCTATACTTT